AAAGGGCGAAGCAGGGCCGAAGAGCCCGGTCGCCGCGAGCTTTGGGGGCTGTGCCTGTGCTTCGGGGCCTCAGCTCCTGGGGTTCGGGTTGCAGGCCACGGCGGGGTCTCCCTGCGAGTTGGTGGCAGTATTTTTCGAGTCACGGGTCATCGGCACCAGGATGAGGCTCCGGGCCCAGTTCTTCTCTCCGGGAGAACCCGCCTGGCGGTGCGGTACTCGCTGGAGGCCCGGCCCGGGGACGCAAAGCGAAAGGACACAGGCCTTCAACAGCTAGCAGCCGGTCCCCACCGGACGCCGGCTCCTTGGGACCCTGGCCCCTTCCCTCCCGCTCCAGTCTGCGGCCTCCAGAAGGCAGGGAAGCCAGGGAGTCGGGCTTCCCCTCGCTAGCACCCTCCCGCCGGGCAGCGGAGAGCCCCTAGCTCGCCCCGAGGGAGGGAGGAAGGCGGAGGAGAGAGGTCGCCCGGGCTCAGCCGCCTGGCGCTTCCGCACTCGCGCCCTACCCACGCGCCCCGCTTCTTGCTCGCACTCAACCAGCCCCCGCACCCCTCTTTTCCTCCCTGTGGGACAGTCGGGGCCTCGTGGTTTTCTAATTAGAGCTCGGCCTGTCCCTAACGAGCTCCCGGACCCTCCTCCCCAGTTAGAAACTTCGCGAAACCGTGGGAATGCTAGTTGGAGTTTTAGAAACGTTGTTAATGGAAAAGCCCAGGACGCCTGGGAGCACCAATTCTTCTCTTCCGACCCCACTACCCTACGATCAGCAGACGTAGTTGCCCTCCAGGGCCAGAGCTCTTGACAGAAACCCCGCGCCCACCCCACACGGGGTCTGTTTAGCTTTGCGATGTGGGCTAGAACTTTCTGCTTAGAGTTGGGTGAGCCTAGATGAGACTGTGCAGGACCCTCAGCACCTGAGGATGAGCGATCCGAGTTATCACCGGTCTTGGCAGGTTCCAGGGGCCGTTGGTTGTCTGGGAACTAGTCTCTTTGGTCCTTATCAGTAACAATGTGGGGAAGTTATCATACCTGCCTTCTCTGAGACAAATCCCACAACGCTGAGAGGGGCAGGGAGAGGTGTAGAGAAGTGTTGAAAAGTGATTGGCGGACTTCTATGGCAGGGCGCATAGAGGTTATTATCTGCTGATGCAGAATTTGCGGACAGTTTTAAAGGAAAACTCATGTAAATCTTCACAAAGAAGATATATAGCACACACACACATAGTAAGCAAGGCAAGTTGGCTTTTATGCTTGTCTCATTAACTCAGAAGATGTTAGGCTATGTTTCATACGTCTACGTTAAAAGCATCAATTTTTTGGTATTAGAAACTGTGAGCCGTATGGTGCCTTTGGGACTTACTCCTCTGTGGAACCCCACGGCTTTCTTGGGAAATGAAAAGGACGAGTTCCATCTCTGTGTCCACGGAGGTACTGGAAAGGAAGCCATACACAGGTGTGTCTTTGGAACTTTGGGGTTAAATAACATTATCATCTTAACATTTTATTGGCCTTCACACTGAAAGAAAATGTTTAAAATGTAAAGAGTTGGTGTTAAATGACTTGAAAGGTACAGAATAAGACACAAACACAATAGGAGCAAAGAGATATTAACCTTCCTTTTCCGGATGGACAAATCCAAGTCTCTCCTGCCCTGTTAACAAAGTTGATCGTACAGCTGGATGGTTGGCTCTGACCTTAACCAAAAATTTTGGCATTATTTCCCAAGAGGAGCAATGCAACATTAAGGTGTTATTTATTTGCTTCCTTTCATTATAGATAACATTATAAATCCATAATTTGATTAGAGAGTATGTAATGTTTGCTTTAAAGTCAAGAGTGTAAATATGGAGTTACTTCAGTAATTTTAGATTTGGTGCTGGCAAAATGATTATTGTGTTCTCATGGCTTGAATAATTACATGTAATTACTAAATGGATGCCTATTTAAATGCTAACACTATATTTTAATTCTTGGTAGAGTGAAGATTCATATGTAGACAAACAGCTATTTTTGTCACAAACAGGACACCATTTATTATTTTGGCAGTGTATTAGATATTGTCATTTTATTTAGATTACTTTAAGTCCTCTGCTACCAAGGCAGTTACAACACTTACAACAAATATAATCCTTAAAACAGAGCAGGGTGCTATTGTTGAATGAATGAGTCAATGAAAGAATGAGTTTGTTTACACGTATATTTTCCATAAAATTTCATGTCCTAGAAAAGACATTTTATTAGTGGTAAAATGTCTGACGCATATTAAAAATAGATGCTTGACTTAATGAAGAATATACATCACTTATTCACTTCAATGATACTTTCTAAAATGAGGATGTTGACATCCATTTAGCACAATAAAGTTTTGACTTAAAATTCACCTTGGAGGTAAAGAGATATATGTATATATTTAGCTTTGTAGAATTTCTTTTAGACACGTGTAAAAATATAGCCCTATAGTGGTGGGTTTCTAATAATCTCCAAAGTAGGTTTTTAAAGAGAATCAGAATTTTAAAGCTGGCTTTGTATTGTTGTCTTTTACAGTCTCACTTTCCTAAGTAAAGGAATTAATGTCAAAATGTTTTTGAAGCTACATATAACTAGCTTTTTATAAAACTAGCCAAAGATTTCCAAGCAAATCTTTTGTGGAAACAATTTTGCAAGTTGCTCAGATAATATGTTTCATTGTCAAATGTATAGTTAATGTGTTAAGTATGTATCTGCTGGTATTTAAGAACAGTGAGCGTAGCACCCTTTAAAAAAAACACTGAAATATCTCTTTAAATATTTTTTCTCACTTCTTAACCATTAGAGGTATGTATATGACCATGCAACATTCAATTAGCTTTGTAAAACATTTTGTTTTAAAATTTTTTCATTTCACATTTAATGAAATTGAAAAATGAATGACAAATGTAGATTGTCTTTCTTGTCAGTAAAAAAATCTCTTGCTATAATTGATTTTTTAATTACAATTCAAAATTGCACTTAAAACCAATTCATTTAAATGTGTATTATGTATTACCACATTACATTTCATCATTTAATTTTAAGAAAAATTTAAGTCTAGATTAGAGAGCAAAGATCTTGCTTCTTTAATATGTGTGTAGATACAAAGTAGAATTCCTATATCAGGAACAATATAATTTAACTTAAGACATTATTAGTGACACTCAAAATCTAGGTAAAAATAGCTTATAGATATACAACTTGAACTCAAATTTGTAGCATTCCATAAGTAAACTGTTATCTTTATAGATTTAAACCCCCTTTTCATCATTGAGCTTTTATCTGAACATTTTTTAAAGTAAATAATACATAGTAAAAGCAATCACTGAAAATGGCAGTTCTAGTAGCTCACGAATTTGACTTGTTTAAGGACTAAAACCAAATATGGAACTTCTTAGTTTTAAGGGTGATTTTTAAAAAATAATGTGATAAGGAACTGAAAAAAGTTTCAAGTGAAAGTTTGTTTACAGTTTTGATTATTTGCTCAGTGTATTCCCCCAGACCCTCTAAATGGAAACACACACAGACTTTAAAGAAATTGTGTTCTTAGAGAGATTCCAGATCACATTGCAACTTCTGCTTTAGAGTTAAGTCAAGAAATTGTGGGGATCATTGGTTTCTTATTGCAGAGCAAAAGATATGAAACTTCTCTGGGGGTAACAGGGATCCCCCTCTTAGACTGCTGGTCCATCCCTCAACTATTGGGGCTCCACAAAATGTCAGCCCTTCATCAGAGACCTCTAGTCAGAGTGAGATTTCAAAAACTATCAGAAAGGATTCACCCCAATAGGAGAACCAGCTAACTTTACATGTTCTTTTCTACTGCAGGGGAGATGCTGGGAAACTTCCTGTCTTAGCACTCACTACTTAGCAGCAGCCATGGCTATCCAGCCACCTGACACCTGGCGAACTTGTATTTGGTGATGGACAAAGATCTACAGTGGAGCAGCTGTCTTTAAAACATTTGGTACACAGTTTTTCTCAGACAAACTAGATTAGGTCTTTAATTTTTGTTAAGAGAAACTGGGCAAAGAGAGAAAGTGATATAAATTAGGGTGTGTGGTTAAATTTTTTTTGATCAAGACTTTCCAGGTAAGAGTCTCACTCCCTTTCTTTTGGAAATGCCATTCAATAGCAAAGTGACAAACTTAAAAGACAAAGACAAATGTTTAAAAATCACAGTGAGGAAGCAGTAAAGTTAGCAATTAAGGGCAAGCCACGGAAGACAGCACAGGGATCGTATTCCCTCTTTTCTCATTGAATCTGAGAGCCTTTATAGATTGCTTTCAATAGAGTATAATTAGTTGTATAAAAATGGTTGCCCGCACCCACCAGCATCCCGAACCCATACATGCTGGGTGTATGGTATACATAATCTGGACTGAAGGGTCTGGATTAAGTTCTGGGCTTGACGTTAAGGTTGCCTGGGCAATAATGTCCTCATCAGCTCACACACGTCACACGAGACACTTCTCTTGACCATGGACGCCAAGACCTCCCACGGCCGCAGCCTACGTGTCTCCCCGCACTCCAACCGGGTTCTCTGAGCATCCGCTCCTCTGACCCCCTTTGCCTCGCACGGAGTCGAGTCCCTGGGGCAGTCAGATACCAAACGGGGTGGACTCAGTTCATACAGAAGCCTGTGCCCCTGCAGCCGCCAGCAGCGGCTGCGTAGGACCCCAGACGGGGCTGGCCTCCCGCCGCGGCTCGTGGGGTGACACCCCGAGAGCCCCCGCAGGCGGGGTTCCCCCGGGACTGGCTGTGGGCGCCGGGAGTCCCAGCCTTGTGGCCGTGACGTCATGCCCAGGGCCCAGCCGTTGCGGTGAACCGGCCGCGTTCCGGTTCCGGTAGGTTACCCGGGAGACGCGGGTACACACAGGACCGGCTCACGTCGCGGCCGAGCGGTCGTGGTCGACGCCCCCTGTGCTGATCGCAGCCCCGCGCGGATTCGCCGCCGCCGCCGCTGTCGCCTCTGTAGCGGACCGACCACCGCGGGCTCCATGAGTCAGAGGCAGGTGCTGCAAGGTAGGGCCCGGGGCGGCGGGGCGCCCCGACGGGCTGGCGGAAGAGCAGCGGGCTGACGGGGCGGCCCGCTCCACCTCGGCTCTCCCCGCAGTGTTCGAGCAGTACCAGAAAGCTCGGACCCAGTTCGTGCAGATGGTGGCAGAGTTGGCGACCAGACCCCAAAACATCGAGACGCTGCAGAACGCGGGTAAGTCCCGACCCCGGCCAGCGTCTTCCGCGCGGCTGTTCTCTCCTGGCCCGGGAAGTCGCCCCGCTTCTGCTCGCCCCTGATCGCCCTGCGCCCCTGTCCCCGCGTCACCTGGTGCGGGGCCTGGCCCCTCGCGGGGAATCCCTGTCGCTGTTCGCCCTTCGCCCCTGGCATCACCAAACCCAGCCTGGGTCCGCGCTCTCCTGCCTCGCCGCCCATGCGTGGCCCTGGCTTTCTTTCCCCTGGGTCGCGGTTGTCCTGCCCCCCTCCCCCTCCGCCGGCCGAGCTTTTTGGGAGAGACAAGGTGGGGACGGGAGGTCGATGTTCCTGAACACGAGCTTGTTTGGGTGTGAAGCCAGGTTTCTGATGGGTACCAGAGGCTCGACGTCCTCATTTCCATTTTTATTGCAACCGGGTAGGTGTCAGGTTGAAAGTCAACGTCCTTTGTATTGCCTGGAAGTCTTTTTCGTCAATGGGGATCTACCCTCGGAAGACCTGTTTTATCAGTGTGTCATTGCATATCAACCTCGGTTTTGATGACCTCCCATTTCCTCACAGCAAAGGAATTCCAGAGCCCTTGCCACACTTTTTCTCGTCTTGGAGTAGTGGAAGAACAATGATATGCTTGAATTTTCCCCAAGAGATTTAAAGTTGATAAAGTAGATTTACTTTTGACAAATCGTTCTCTGCTCTCCTTCCACCCCTCAAGTCCACACTCTTCTCATGGAGAGAACAGTAAGTGGTGTGTGTGTGTGTGTGTGTGTGTGAGAGAGAGAGAGAGGGAGAGTGAGAGAGAGAGAGAGAGAACACAAACCACCTTACGCAGTTTCTGTCCCCTCCTATCGCCCCTCTTTTCTCTCCTTTTTCATATTAAGGATGATTGCAGAACTAGCTGAACTCAAAGACCTCAACTAGCACGCTCTCACTATCTTGTCAAGAAGAAAGTTTAGAAATAATATTTACTACTATGGGTTTGTTTGAAGGTAATTTCTATTGCATTCTAGGTGGTGGCTTCTTGTGTTTTTTGTAGGGCTGTATTTAGAATAGAATAAGTATTTTATATGATTTAACCTCAACTGTATTTATCAGCAGTAGAGTTATCACAAACATCCCTTGTGTTGCTCTTTTATAACCACATCCAGCACATTCTTGAAGATAATCTTTTGTTCTGAAATTGCTCCTTGTGGAACAATATGTGTCTATCTATGTTCATGTATGCATACTCCTCTGTGTACCCAGAACAGTGCTGGACATAGTACATTTCATGTATATTGTGTTTTTATTAATTAGAGCATGTGATATTGTAAAAAGCACTTTTAAAAGTTTTTTTTCCTCTTTTCTATTTATTACCTTTTTGAAAGGACACTTGCTATTTACCAATATCTTATGGGCAACACACACACACACATATTATATATATATATATATATATATACTAAAACAGTTTTTAAAAGGGAAATTGATTGGCATTTTCAATATTTGAATTGAGATATTGAAATATGAAAGTGTAGATAGCACCAAAGGTTTAGAATATCAATCACATTTTGCTATAATAGAGGCAGTTTATCTCTTCCTATAATGTACACATGGAGTATATTGTGGACTTGAATCAACCCAAATTTAATTTATATGATCACCATGTTATAAATGACTTAGACATTCTTCAATAGCTACATGTTTCCATTTGTGGTTAGATTTATAAAGGAAAGTGCTGCAAAAGGAATATAACAATGTTTCAAAGTTATATGCAGTGGGTTAATATCTTAATGAAATGCTAAGATTTTTCTTTTCACAAGGATTTTATTTTAACACTTTTATGTCATCTAGATTCATGTAATCACTTCTCTAGTAATTGTAAATAGAGGTAGATAGTGATGATTCCAATATATCCTTTTAATTAAAATAATCTCAATACTTTGTTTCCTTCCTTTGTTGTCAATTAGCTTAACCATCGAAATAATTGAACAACAACAACCCAATACAGGGCTGATTTTAAAAATATTTTTGAGTGAGCCACAATTTGTATGTGGCAATAGATCATGACATGATATTATGACAAGATACTTTTTTCCAGTCAAGTCATTTCCTTTTGATGGCATAAAATGCCAATCCATTTTATTCTCCACTTTTGCAATTTGTCTGCATGTTTGGAAAGGTTTTGTTTTTCTCACTTTTTCCCTAATCATGAGTCCAGATAACGTGACAGACATTTTCCATGATAAATAACTAGTTTACTTATTAAAAAATTTCGAATTTACTCAATGTGAAATTAAGTTTAAATATGAAAATTATAATTGCAGTTTTATTTCATTTAAAATCTTTGAACTTTTCATTGCATACTAGATATGTTTAGAATAGAGTTAGTTTTACTATATAAGTCCAAAGAAATTAACACAACAAAGTATTGGAAGGTATCTTCAGAAGATTTGGGAAAGACTAAGTTTGATTGCTAATTACAATTGTTACCAGAAATAACTGTTACTAGAATGTGTCTATAACTCTAGAGTTATTTTTTTCATATTGAGATTTTATTGTACTAAGCCAAAAGGACATAACAAAGCATTAAATAGTTTAATGTTACAGAATTTCTTTATGCAAACCATTTAATCTTGGTAGCTATTTAAAAATGAATTTTGATACCTCTGTAATAACAGAAACAATATGTTATTACTTCTATCAATTATAGAATGGAAGTAGCTGATTAGTTATAAGAAACAGATTTACTGTCATAATGAATCACCTGGCCAATCTTAGGTTGGCTAATAAAAGCTCTAAAAAGTTATTTTTTAACTGCTTACTTATATAAATAAACTTCTTCTGGATCATCTATTTACATAAGAAAAGTGGTGGTAAAGTTTAAACAATACTTTGTAGTATTTTACTTATCACCTAAAGTAAAACAATAAATAGGGCAACTTAGTGGTTATGTATATTTTCAGAAGACTAGGGATAGAGAACTTTGCATAATATTTTAAATATGCATCTTATGAAAGTAATTTAAAAATTGGGACAATTTAATAAGTTCAGAATTTGGAGAATAGTAATATATGTTGAAATAAAATGATATTAAATTATGTGTTTCTGGGGAAGGGTAAAATTCTTCTGCTTAAGTGCCCTCCCTGGTGGTGCAGCCAGTTAAAGCACAGCATACTAAGAAGCTAAAGTCACTTCCACATGAGTTCGATCCCCGCCTGTCCCAGGGTGGTGATCCACAAGGCAGGGCAGACCTCTCCTGACCTGCCCACTACTCAATCAATCTGTCTGTTCTGCTCAATCAGTCTGTATGTTCTGCTCCTCACTCTGTCTCTGGTGAATCCTCTCTCCACCCCTGTACCTCTGGTCTGTACCCCAATTCTGTATGCACAAATAAATAAATATTAAAAAAATTCTTCTGTTAATTATATAGTTTCTCCATTTGTTGTATGAAGGAAAAGCCCTACTAAGCATTTCTTAATGCATTTAAAGCATTTCCTGTTAGGTACATACATAGTCCATGATTCTCTTACAAAAATAGTTCTAGAAAATATTGAAATTTAAAAGATAATTTGTAAAACACCTTTACAAACCTAATAAGACTACCAAAATTTGATGTATTTTCCCAAGAGGAGGGTTAGAATTTTGAATGTAAAATATTTAACTCAAATCTTGACTTAAAAAAAATAGGGATCAAAGTTTGCTTTATATGCTTAAGTGGAAAATATTTCAGGGAGCTCTAATTTTTTTTGAAGCTTTATGTGCCTTAACAATATAATCTAAAAACAAGAGAATTCTGCATTCTAAACCATTGTTCCTATATGGACATTTTTCTGCTTGGTTATCTAAACTATAAGTAAATACTGCATTAAAGGCTAGGATCTTGTTTTCTTGGGAAAAACTGCACAATTAAAAAAAATCCAGGCTTCATATGAGACTATGAAAGTGGGAGTTAGAAATGGTAAATGTGTAGGTTAAAATTTAATGCCAGAGAATAAATTTCTTTAAAAACTTATTTATGCATTCCTTAGTTCTGCTTTACATGTGAATCCTTTTTTCTTAATCTCCTCCTCTCTCACTAGAACCTTTTCCTATACTTCTTTGCCTACTTGAGTTTTAGTCATTGGGGCTCTGTTGTTTGCTTAGGGAAATAATCCTTGAGCTGTGATAGTAAGGTAAGCTCTTGGTTTATGCTTTCTTACTCCTAATACCTTTCTTTCATAGTGTTTACTACAACTATGACTTAATTTCTATTCTGCACTAACTGTAAATTATAAGCCTGTCACAATACTTAGCATAGAGCAAATGATCAATATATCACATAAAGTGAAGTCAGGTAGCATTATTTTCTAAATGTTTTCATATTTCTTTTTTTTAATTAAAGATTTATTTTTATTATTTATGTAATAAGAACTGGGGTGTAAGTCAGAGGCCCTGGGGGTGAGAGAATTCACCAGAGACAGGATGGGGGGCAGAACAGGCAGATTGATTGAAATACACTCCTTAGGGGAACAGTGGGAAAGGCAGGAGAGGTCGGCTGTACCATGAGGGTCAGCTCCCTGGTCAGGGATTGAACTCCTGCCACAGTGGTTGGTGATAGCTTCATAGCGCTGAGACTTTAACTTCTGTGCCACCAGGGAGGCCCCTGTTTTCAGGTTTCTTAAAAAATTATTCTTATAATAGCTGAGGTTGGTGGAGTAGGTGTCTTCTTCAGTGTGCATACTTAAACCAAAAGGAGTTTGGATAACCACTTTCAGCACAAAATGAGTGTTATGACTGAACTGGGACTGGAACCTGTTTCTTGGCCTTGTGCCTATGTGGATAAGAGTAATGATTTCTAATGGTTCCAAGAGCTTCTGATGAATCTCAATGTTAACTGTTGAAGTAAGTCTTCTGATACTAATGACTGTTCAGTAATTGCATGTAATTGGCTTTGGAGTCTTCCTGGAGAACCACTGTGGCAGGGTGAGAGGAGTTCAGATGAGCCGGCTAATGCTAATTTATAGACATTTGTAGGCTGAAGTGGT